ACTTCACTCAAACCAGAAAGATGTACTGAGTGTTTCCTCTGCGGTTGGCACCGTGATAGGCAGCGGGGACACAGGAGTGAGCCCGACAACCCCCTGCTTTCCAGGTGCTCATGTTCTCATGGGGAAGAAAGGAGATGATGATCACAAATTAACAAGTGCAGAGCATGTCAAATGGTGATACATGCTAAGAAAAATTAAAGCAGAGGAAGGAGACGGAGAGTATAGAAGGTTGAAGGAAGGCCTCTCTGATAAGGTGACGTATGACCAGGGACTTGATGGAAGTGAGGCAGCATAAGAGGAGGAAGAACCTTTGGTCAGAGGAGGCAGCAAATACAAAGGCCCTGGGGTGAGTGAGCGAGGATGTTCAAAGAACAGTAAGGAGGCCAGTGGGTCTGGGTCAAAGGGAGTGAGGGGAAGTGCAAAAGGAGGTCATGCCTCTCCACTAATTTCTGGCATTTTGCTAGCAGTCTTTGGCATTCTTTGGGCTTCTAGAAGCATCACCCCGAGCATGTCTGTCTCCAAATTTTCTCTTTATAAACACAACAGTCATATTGGAATAGAACCCACCCTGACGAGCTCGTTCTAACTTGATTACCTCTGTAAAGGCTCTATCTTCAAAGAAGGTCACATTCTGAGGTACTAGGAGTTAGGACTCCTACATATTTCTGGGGGGGAGGCCCACTTCAGTCTATAACCTGGGGCTAAAGTCAAAGTGATGGCAGGGCTGCTGTCCCTCTGGGAACTTCACGGGAGAACCCGTTTTCTGACTTTTCTATCTTCTAGAGGTTGCCCACATTCCTCGGCTCATTGCCCTCCTCCAGCAACGACACAGTTCCAACCTCTCCTTCTGTGGTCACATCTCCTTTTCTGACTCTGACACTCTTGCCTCCCTCTTTATAAGGACACTTGTGATTACATCTGGAAAATCAAGAATAATCTACCCCCACCTCAAGATCCTTAACGTCACCACATCTGCAAAGATCCTTTTGCCACGAAAGGGAACATATCCACAGATGCCGGGGATTAGGACTCAGACATTTCTGAGGGGGCAATATCTGCTTCCCTTATTTTAAAGTTTATCTATTTATTTTGAGAGAGAGAGAGAGAGAGAGCACATACCGGGGAGGGGCAGACAGAGAGAGGGAGAATCCCAAGCAGGCTCTGCACTATCAACACAGAGCCTGATGTGGGGTTCGAATTCACGAACAGCGAGATTATGACCTGAGCTGAAACCAACATTGAGCCGACTGAGACACCCGGGGGGCCCCTCTGCATGGTATTTTGAAAGCCATCACCCTGCCTGTCATGTGCAAGGGGGAAAGACTGTGTAGCAGGAGACCCATTAGCAGGCTGTGGCCGTGGTGCTGGTAAGAGATGCTGGTGTCCTGGACCAGGGCAGAGGTGTTGAGAAGTGATCAAATTCCGGAATCATTGTGAAGAATGAGTTGCCCATGGAGCCCATGAGAGGCGTAAGACTGTAACAGAGACATCCTCGTTGTAGCTTTCTCAGAAAAACAATAACTGACATTTGTTTACCCCAGTAAAATGTTCAACATGACTTTGCACTAATTTTCTCGTCGGAACTCCCTATGCCGTTGTTGTGTATCATTTTAATACTTAATTTAAGTAACAGGGAGTTAAGGATCAGAGAGGGGGCTTCTAGTGATTCTCGTTTTATTTCATAAAAGTTATTTTCTTGAAATTGGCTATTTCAATGCTTTGATTTTTTTCTTTTTCTTTAAGTAGACGCCACGCCCAGCATGGACCCCAGCACGGAGCTTGAACTCACAGCCCTGAGATCAAGACCTAAGCTGAGATCGACAGTCAGACGCTTAACTGACTAAACCACCCAGGCACCCCAATCCTTTGATAGGTTTTAAACACAGACATGACTAGTTAAGCCTAGACTGGTGATGAAGAGAAACAGATGCCATTCGATATCACCAGTGTTTTCTAAATAAGTTTACTAATCACAAAGCCAGAGAGAGTTCCATATTTTTGGTGAGAATAAATGAGTTAATGTACATAAAGAGTCTAGAACATTGTCTGACATATGTCAGTCCTATAAAATGTTAGCAATCATTACAGTTATTACTTGTCACTTAGATTCTGTATTCCCAAATGATACTGAAAATGTCAATTCAGGGGGGAAAAAAAGCAAAACAAAACAAAACAAAGAAACAGAGTAGAGGAAAAAATTGCACTCAAGTAGCTAGAATAAATTAGTTGCTACACTCAAACATTTAATTTAGTTCTGAGCACCCAGGCAGCTAGATCAAAACAAGGAAACACATTATGTAAGATAGTTCTTGGTGATGCGTAATTGAAATCAAAGTAGGTGGTCTAAAGAAACAGAACTTTTCATGGACTTCTAATCATAATTTAATGCGTAGATCCTCACATTAGGGGCTCTAGAAACAGAATTGTTTTTTTTGTTTTTGTTTTCTTTTGTTTTGGTAAAAGCCATTAAACCTCAGTGCGGTCCTCCCTGCAGGTGCTGAACCCACATATCCCGCCGTTTACTTCTCGTAAGTTGTTCATCCTCCCTCTTGTTGCCAGAGTGACTTTTAAAAAGGCAAACCTGATCATGTTACTCCCTTGCTTAAAATTTATCCTTGACACTCACTCCATTGCTCCACAGTGGTGTTTTCAGGCCTATTTTTAGCCAGAGGACCATTTCTTCAAATCAGAGTGTTCGTGGAAGTCCAGTAGGTATTGGGCATAGGCTGAGCTGCTCCAGGCGGAGGAGTGGGTGTGGGGGGACCTGTCTGCCTGGCTTCACCTCCTCTCTCCTCTTGCATCCGGTCTGGTCCTCTGAACTGTCAGGATCCAATCAGAGCCCCTCAGCACGGCCTCAAAGGCCTTGTTTCCACCCTCGGGTGTTGCCCCCCAGTCTGCACTTGGGCTGAGCTTCGATAAGAATATAATTTACGAACCAAACTGTTTTTGAGGTTAAGTAATTATTTTAAAAATAATTAAAATCATCTGACTTTGGAAACGTTTACTTTTTGATCAACCAATTGGCTTTATCTTATTGGTGGATATATAAAACAATTCCAAAAAATGAGGTTTTATAACAGCATTAAAGCAGACATACTGATTATCTAAATGTTTAAAAATAACATAAGTATAACAATTATTCTAGAAACATTACTGTATTTTATTTTGTTTCTTAGCTGGATCTATGATACTGTATTTCTCCTTTTTCTTTCATTTTGTCACTATAGTTCTAACATTGTCATAAAATTCCCTATAATATTCAAAATTGGATTTATGGTATATAACTTGGAAGTTTTTGACACTCTTAATTGACTTTTCTCTGAAGATCCTATTTTTAATGAGAATATATTCTCTCTGTGGGCGCTGGGGTACTTAGTAAGCTCAGAGCAAATTCTGCTCAGTTGAAGATATTCTCAGTTCTTTTTTTTAAATATTAAAGCGAGTAAAAATTTTAGCCCAGATATTTTTGTTTCAATCCAGAATACTTTTCTTTGACATGTATTTTTATAAGACAAAATTCATCAAAGAGGTTGTCTTTATGATTATTTGAAATGGTTCACCAAATGCAAATGTTGTAAAAGTATAAGCTTCTCAACCGTATTCCGTTCTATTCTGGAACTGAATGCAATTTCTCTAATTAAAAATAGGTGCTCCATCTCAAAAGATTTTCCCCAAGTCAAGACATTTTAAAGCGCAATTATGAAATTTCAAAATTAAACACTGTAACCATTTTAATCGTTTATTGTCACAGTCGTTCAGTTCCTTGCTTTCATGGGGACTACATTCCCTGCTTGTCTGTTTGTAATGTCTGTTTTCAATAGCCTTAATTTCCTAAAACATTTAGCAAGCTGAAGTTTTTTTGGTCCTCCATTTGTTGAATGCCTTGATTAATAAAGATCCCATACTTTCAAATAAAATGCAACCAAAATGTAGAGAATTTGCTTACAAAAATGCCTCATACCGTTGTAGGCTGCTTATGTCGATTTAAAAGGTAATTTGTTTAAAGAATCAAGCACTTCAAAAATCAAACTGATAAAAGGCAGCAGAGAAAACATGCTAAGTTACTGTTTTGCAACATCAGCTTCCTCACCTCAGTTTTGTAGTTTAGTTATTTTAACTATGTATAGTGATAGAGAATATGTAAAAATCACTCTATTTTAATTGGCAGATTCTTCCATAATCATTGGACAGATTTATGTATGATTTGTGAATTGCATATTAGTGCTTCCTGGATTTCTTAATTTAGCAAATATTGATTTTACCACAATTTTGGTTTTGGACTCTGGCCTCCAGAAGTGTGAGAAAATGACTGTCTGTTGTTTCAAGTCACCAAGTTTATGGTAATTTGTTACAGCAGCCTCAGAAAACAAATACATATGCCTTTACAATAGTACTTATCACATGTAACTGTAGGGTCTGCTGCACTAAAACATAAATTTCTTAAAGACATCTTGTTTACCTTATATCTCTAGCTTACATTATAGTGCTTGGAATATTCGATTCTTGGTTGAATGAATGAATGAATGATGTCAATGTATTACGTTGTCATTTTTACAGAGCAAGGACTTCAAAAAAGTATACACAGACTTATAATCTTGTTTTAAAAATATATTTGAAAAAGCTTAAATTTATTTTATTAAAATTAAAATTGGCGTAAGTCATAAGCCTCCATTTTTACTGGGTAATGGAAAACTCAGTCTTTCGTAGTCTGTTCTGGTTTAAGGCTCCGCCTCTTTCAGAATTCTCTACCCTTTTCCTCAGAAGAGGTTCAGGTGGCCTAACTTCCTCAGGGCCTGCTATCCACTGACTTCCACAAAACTCTTCTGTTAAAACCTAATCACCCCCAAAATGATGGTATTAGGAGGTGGGCCTTTGGGAGGTGATTAGGTCATGAGGGTGGAGACCTCAGAAGCAGAATTAGTGATCTTATACAAGAGGCCCAAGAGAGTTTTCTCACCCCTTCTGCCACGTGAGGACCCAGTGAGAAGACAGCCACATACCAGGAAGAGTGTTGTCACCAGACACGGAATCTGTAGGTGTCTTGTTCTTGGACATCCCAGCCTCCAGAACTGTGAGAAACTTCTGTTGTTGATAAGCCAGCTAGTGTGTGGTATTTTGTTCTAGCAGCCCGAACGGATTATGATAGGCCTCATCCTGGCATTGGGTGTCAGTCCAGTCTCCGTGGAGATGTGGGTCTCCGCCTGGTTCTCAGGCTTCAGGCCTCACGGCCATTACTTCCCTTGAGGGGACTGTGATCCCCTGGTTGTCACCACCGCCGCCTTCACGCTGCTTCCCCAGGCAGCTCTTGGGAGCTGCGGGCCAGTTCTCAGCCACTTCGTACACTTCTCTGGAAGCTTGGGAGTGAGGAGGGTGGGACTTGCTGGGACCTCCCCCACACCCAACAGCCTACTTAGCTTCTCTGTCCTTTGCCACCAGATTAAATGTGGCCTTCTTCCTAAGACTTGTACCCTCTGGGAAGCTTCTGCTCTGGGATCCCCTCACATTTTCCTGGGATTTCTGTTGTAGTTTCTGTAGTCCTGCCGTCTCCTTGCTCCCAGGGTTCGGTCTACGGCCTGAAGCGCTGGGCGTTTCTGCGGGACCCTCCGGCTTCTTTATGCTGTCACAGCCCTTCTGATTCTCCCTTTTCCGCTCTCTAGTCAAACTCTTGTTTTATTTATTTCAGGAGTACGGTAGCAACTCTTGTCATTGCACTGTAGGGGTTATTGTGTAAAGTCTGTGTCCTCGGTCCTTGAGTGTATGATACTTAAGGCCTAGTGTTTTAGAAGTTAGAAACAAAAGACAGAAAATCAGCTGAATCCAAAAAACAAAACCAAGAAGCCATTCTTTCTCAAAGTCCCGGCTTTTACAATTGAAAGCCAGGGCTTTTGCAATTGAAGGCAGCACCTATAGGGGAAACCCTGCGGCTGCCCCAGTGTGGGTGTGGGGCCCAGAGCTGCGGGGG